AAATTTGTGATATGGATCTATCTAACCCGCTATCATTAGACTAATCCTTACCAACCATAGGGGTATTCTAGAAATAGGGGTATTCTCGAAATCTCGCAAAGCAGTTGCATTATTGTTAATTATTTTTTAGTTTTGCAGCCACTTTGTATGACAGACGACAATATGTGATACAAATTTGTACTAAATTAACGATATTTTTACCCAATATCTGTGAAACTAAAGAAGATATTTAAAAATGGAAAGATCTAAATTAATTTAGTATGACTGCATTATTAACTCAATTGGTACTAAATTAGCGATAAAAGATCGAACGATCTTATTTTAAAATATATACATACATACATACATAGCTGCTTCTATAACTAACAGTCGTCAAAATGATGCTTACGACAATCTCTTATCCAGGTGACAATACATACATATGTACATATGTAGATACATAGATAAAGGTTTGCGAAATATAGTTGTGATCAGTATACCGGGGAAAAAGTTAGTCTTTTTAAAAATTTTGTTTGGCAGAACTTGTTAATCATACTTATATGAAAGGAAGGTAAATATGCCGAATTTTAATATTTTTAGGGCACAATATTAAACTTTACGAGGAAGTAACAATGTAAACACATTTTTAAGGCGCTGCGAAGTACGCCGGGTATTTGCTAGTACCATATAAGAAGAATTTAATTTTATTTGTAGACGTTGTTGAAATCAAATTAAGAGATCTCTAATGCAGACTACTCGGCAAATCCGAATAGAAAATAAGATATACTACATGAGTGAAATGAGTGGTTAAATTTTTATAGCTTACAAAACTAAAGTAAATCGATCATCCAAATTTCCGGTAGGCCTTAAAACAATATTAAATTCAGTACATACACGTGTACTATTCACAGCCGCATTTGCATCCTCAATGAGCTTTCCGCGATTGCTTGTTATTGTATTTCACATCACATACGCATTTTGCACCTTTTTTTGTGCTGATTTATGATGTACTTTAAACAATGTACATATGTAAGTATAAATAAGTAGCAGTGTTGCCACTCACAAATTTTTTCCCCTACCAAAAAACGTACCAAAACGGTTTTGAGAGTACTAAAAAATTTCATTGGATTAAAAAATATTTTTTCACACAAAATTTTTCACAATACCGGTGTAAAATATTTTTGAATAAATTTTTTTCTATTTTTTATAAAAATATAGTTCGTACTATAACTAAAAACACAAAAATATAACTTCTAAACTCTGTTCAAAACTTAGGAAAATTTAATAAATTTTCATGAAAAATTCAAATTTTTTAATACGATTTTTTTGAATTTTTTTTTGAGTATACTACAGCCCAAAAAATTTTGAACGTGGTCAAATGTGTTCACAAACCACAAAATTATTGCACTTCAAATTAATTTAGCTTTCTTACACCATAAGTCTTTGTGCAATATGTTAATTTGTATATGCATATAAAGCACATTTAACTAATTAAAAATAAATTGTTTTTAAATTCGATATAACATAAAACTGATAGTAGTTGTATTGCAATTTTGAGCCCTTTTTCAGTTTTTATACCGCTAAATAGCATATGAATCGCATACATATGTAATTCACGTAGATATCTTAATATTTCGTTCAGTATTTCGTTTAAAAATTTAATGCAAATACATTGGAATTAACTACTAATTTCCTAATTTGCATACTTTTCTACTTTCTTCGTTCTTCGTAAATGTATTATTTTGTAAGGGAGTGTCAAACCGCGGCTGTCAATAATTACCTAACCTGAATCATGGGTAGCGTTGACAGCGCCACCAAGAATTATAGAATACAAATTGCGCATTCCCGGCGACACTGACATTTCTCAAGTACAAGTAAACAAAGCCGAATAGGTTGAAAAAAGGAACTCTCATAGAATTGTGAATCTGACTTTTGCGACAACTTTCACGCATTGACGATTAATTGTATTGAAGCTCTCGTTTAAATTATTTTACTATTAATCGACGAATAAATACAGAATATAGAAAAATCAGAAATATAGATGGAACTAATTATACAATATTGTTTTTCCTAACTATCACCTTTAAGGAAAAAGTAGCAAAATCAAAATCAACCTACCAACGTTCCAAATAATTTTAAAAGTACCAGTTTTGGTACGAAAGTACCAAAATTGGCAACGCTGATAAGTAGTTGATTACACCAGCTGTTTGCTTTGGCCTATATATATACTCCCCGCTCACAGCACGCTTGTTACACAAACATATGTATACACGCTCTTACAAATATATCTGTGATCATAGGCAATAAGCGCCTAAGTCGAAAAACCTGAATTCGAGAAAAAACGCTTTAAAGGTTTGGATTGTAATGCTAACCTTATGGGGAAACCAAAATATTTTAATCTATAACTTTTTAAATAGCCAAGCTAACGAGATGGACGAGATGGGAGTGTCACATAAACGTGGAATAGTAGTTGGAGAAAACGGTAGCATATATAACTCAATTCTTTCTTAAGTCGACTTAGGCGATTATTGCTTATGACCACAGATATATAAATACTTATACATAGTTATTTAAATCACTATTACACAGTGTCAATGCTCTTTTATCGCTCAGACAAAACTTTCTTATAAGCTCTACTACTCAGCGGTATTTTGTAATCAAAGAGTATGTACGCGATCAGTTAGTGCGCGCTTGTTAGTAGAAATAGTTCTATGTAACGCAGAGGGGAATTAACAAAGAAAGGACAGTCTTCAATTTTTATTATTACTTAGTACACAAATTGAGTTTCTTTAGAATTTTTTTTTTTTTAATCTTAGTAATAATATTCCTAACATCGTATATTAAAAAAGTAAAAAAAAAAAAAAATATGTCTGGTAAAAAAGACGTTATTCCACACACCGTTAATCCTGATCTACTGAGAGAACGTCGTGCAGCCAGTTTTCGGGTATATGAATTCGCATGTTGGTGGCATGGAGGCGCTGAAAAGCTACGCTTCAAGAGAGACTTGGGTAAATAGTGATATGTTGTTATTTGTCAAATTATTGAACTTTGAGCGCTTGAAGTGTGGCTGGCTGGGTGGGCTTTGTCGGTATGCACACACATGTATGTATGTATGCAACAATGTACTATGCATATTTCGTTTGTTGCTTATCAGCTGACGCGTCAATGACAGTGATTAAGCATAATTCAGTTTATGAATCAAAATTTTGTAAGAACAGGTCAAAAGTACGTAGGTACATAAGTTAAAAAAATTAATTACTTTTTCGACGTCGATGTCATTTTTGTATAAAAAATAGCCTTCGTAAGTCCAACTCCAGCTACAAATGACATCGACGTCGACAACCATAATAGGGCAGATTATCAAGCCCCGAAAAATTTTCAGAGTTGATTATAAAGTCAATGCAATTATATTTTAGTCTCGCGAAAGCTTAGTAAAATGTGTTGAGGTTATTCCAATTCATTTTCCACCAGGCAACTGCAGCAGTGGGAAAACTATATGATTTTATTCCGAGCCCCACCACCTCTTTCCTGCCCAAATTGTCAAATAAGTCTAAGTAGAAAATGTTGCGACCCTTTCAGGTCAGGTTTTTCCTTACCGATCGTTCCACCAGTGATCTGGATACATATAACTTTAGATCATCGTTGGGCAGAGAGAGCTTTTACTCTGCTCGCGCCTATACAAAATGTATAGAAAGCTTATCTTAAGCACTGATAGGCACTGCCTTTCCCGCGGACAAAGCTCTTTTAAGCTTTCTATACATCTTATATAGGCGCGAGCAGAGTAAAAGCTCTCTCTGCCCAACGATGATCTAAAGTCAATGATGAATGATAGAATACAAGATTGCGCATTCCTGCGGGTGATGACATCAGGATAGCAACGAATAGTGTAGATAATGGAAAGAATAATTGGAGATGGAGGAGAGAAAGAGTGTGAACTGTCAAACCATAAAAGTCGCCATATTTACATACATATAAACATCTCTGCATACATACAAACAGTTTGCTAAAATGACGTCACACGAACAGCTGATTCTGTCAAATTCGCCAAGAACAAAGTAGCGGTACTGCTGATTACGACACCTCTGTCTCCCTACATCGTGATCTAAAGTTATATGTATCCAGATACGCAAGCAGAGTAAAAGCTGTAGATCAGCGTTGAGAGCTTTTACTCTGCACGCGCCTATACAAAGAAAGCTTAAAAGAGCTTTTCCCGCGGGCCCGTTACCGCTTTAGATGCACCTTACCAAGGGATTTCGAAGATTTCTGAATAATAAGGACTGTTTCAAAGGTCTTTGGTCACAGGGACTAGGCTGCGCATACATATCTCCTTTAAACTTTATCTAATCTAATTATTGTGGTAATACTGATATTACTAAAAGGTAATAAAAATTATAGCCTTCTGAGAGCAGTCTTGCTACTACCGATCGCAAGTGAAACCAAAAATGCCTGCAGCATTAATTAACTCTCAGTTTTAAGAAAGTTTACCTTACGAAATCAAAAGTATGCCAAGTTCTTATCACTGCAAACGACTTTTCTTTTCTAGAACAAGAAATCTTCAAGGACCTGACAGATCATAATACACTGCTGCATTATAAGTCGCATGAGGAAATCTGCGAGATAGCGGTAAAACAATCCATCGAGCTAGCAAAGAAGCTGCGTGCAATGCAGGCCCGCATTAACCCGGGCGGTAATGAAATATGGCCGTAAGACATGAATTTGAACTTTTCAGCCTACGAACACGCTTCACTTTTGATTAACATTTGCAGCAAACTTTACTCGTCGTCCATGGTTTGGGGCGCTGTGCCCGCTGGGCATCCGTTTGCCGTACAGTACGCCATGATGGTTGATGCGATCAAGAAGCAAGGCACCGACGAACAGTGGGAACGCTTTGGCAAGCGCGTGGAGAATTT